ACTTGAAGCACTTACTGATGAAGATCAAAGACTACAGCCTTCAGTATGGATTACACCTCAACATAAAGAAAACAAATCCTCACAACTGGACCAATAAGCAACATCATGATAAACAGAGAAAAGGATTTCATTTTGCTTGGCTCCACAATCAACGCCCATGGAAGCAGCAGTCAGGAAACCAAATGACATAGTACATGGGGTAAATCTGCTGCAAAAGATCTCTTTTAACTGTTCAAAAGCAAAGATGTCACTTTAAGGATTAAGGTGCACCTGAACCAAGCCATGATATTTTCAATTGCCTCATATGCATGCGAAAGCTGGAAATGAATAAGGACGATGGAAGAAGAATTGACCCATTTGAGTTATGGTGTTGGCAAAGAATATTGAATATACACCATGAACTGCAAGAAGAACGAACAAGTCTGTCGTGGAAGAAATACAGCCAGAATGGTCCTTGGAAGTGAGGATGGCGAGACTTCGTCTCATGCACTTTGGACGTGTTATCAGGAGGGACCAGTTCCTGGAGGAGGACATCATGCTTGGTAAAGTAGAAGGTCCTTGAAAAAGAGGAAGACCCTTGACGAGATGGACTGACACAGCAGCTGCAACAATGGGCTCAAACTTAGCAATGATTGTGAGGATGGCACAGGCCCGGGCAGTGTTTTGTTTTGTTGTACGTAGGGTCGCTATGAGTCGGAACCTACTCAACAGCACCTGAGAAGAACAGCAGGGGCAGAGCAGGGGCTGAAGGTGGGCATGACGATAAAAGGTTAGCAGGAGGGAGAGCTTTGTGGTGATGGAACAGTTCTGTGTCTTGATGGCAGTGCTGGTTACATGGGACCCTCACATATGATAACTTGCATAGAAGTAGACACACACAAAGGAGGCCTGGTTGTGCAGTGCTTAAGCGCTCTGCTGCAAATGGAAAGGTCAGCAGTTCAAACCCACCAGCCGCTCCACAGGAGGAAGATGTGGCAGTCTGCTTCCATAAACATTACGGCCATGGAAACCCTATGGGGCAGTCCTACTCTGTCCTATAGGGTCGCTGTGAGTTGAAATTGACTCGACTGCGATACATTCAGGTTTTTTGGAATCTTTACAGGAGCAGATCACTGGGTCTTTCTCCCACGAGGCCACTGGGTGGTTTAAAGCTACCCAGTGGCTCTATAGAAGCAAGACCTGGCGATCTGCTCCTATAAAGATTACAGCCCAGGAAACCCTCTGAGGCAGTTCTACTCTGTCACATGGGGTTGCTGTGAGTCAAACATTGACTTGATGGCACCCAACAACATACTCTGTCGCTGTCGAGTCCATTCCGACTCATAGCCACCTCATGTGACGGAGTAGAACTGCCCCATAGGGTTTCCTAGGATGTAATTTTTGTGGAAGCAGATTGTCACATCTTTCTCCTGCAGAGCGGCTGGTGAGTTTGAATCACTGACCTTTCGGTTAGCCGCTGAGGGTTTAACCCCTGTACCACCAGGGCTCCCTACAACAACATAGAGCCTGTGATTATTTCAAAATAATATTTAAAATAATTTTTCTTAATAATACATATTTTTAAAATTTTACGAAAATGATACTGGCTACATTCATAGTATGACAGTCATTTGATCTGAAAATAGCTCCAGAGCCCCTCTTTTATCTTGGGCTTTCTTCTGAGCCCCCCTAAAAATAGTGCTATTATCCCGCCCCGGGCCATCATGGCCACAGCCCTCAAAGCTTACTGACTTTATTTCTATTCATAATCATCTATGTTTGGGGTATGGCAAAAAAAAAAAAAAGAATGATTTTACACGTACTTACCAAACAAAAGGAATTTTGACTGTAACAACAATTATCACCAGAAATGTGTGAAATGGGGTGTTCTATGCCTGAAAAGAAAAAAAAAATCATTTAAAAATACGCATAACAAGTCCCTGAAGTTCAGAGAAAAGTTTACAGCAGAGTTGCTCAATCTCAGCACTGTTGACATTTGGGGCTGAATTTTTTTTTTTTTTAACTTTATTCTTTTTTTTTTTTTTCCAGTCTTTTTCTATAATGCTCCCCCCTTTTTACTTCCTTGTGGTGGAAATATACACGACGAACCACGTGCCATCTCAACAATTTGTACGTGTACAATGCAGTGACATTGATTACCTTTGTCAAGTACACTTTTTATTAAACCACAATGTACATGCAGGAAGGTGCACACGCCTAGGGTGTACAGCCCAACAACTTTTCACCAACTGAACACACCCTTGCAACCAGTACTCAGTCCAAGAAATTGAACCTTATCAGAAACCCCCCTGCAAAGGTCTTTTTTCCTTTTCATACCCTGCCTCCAGCCTCCTGCCCAATTTTTTTTTTAACTGTGGTAAAATATATATAACAAAACATTTGAAATTTTATGTGTACAATGCAGTGACATTAGTTACGGTCACCATGTTGTGCTACCGTCATTACTATCCATTCCCAAATTTGTTCGTCACTCTTAACAGAAGCACAGCTGGATCGTTCTCCGGGGTGAGGCCGTCCTGTGCACTGCAGGGTGTTGAGCAGCAGCCCAGACCTCCACACACTCGATGCCATAGCACCCCCTCCCCTGTCCTGACAACCACAAAAGTCTCCAGACACGGCCCAGTGTCCCCTGGGGGACAGAATCAGCCCTGGTTTCAAGGAAACGTCTAGACCCTTCAAAGCGGAATGGGCCCCCTTCTCTTGGCTAGGTTACTCTGATCCAGAACATCCTGAGGTCCAGCCTCACGTAAAGTTCTGGCCACACTTTGTTATTGATGCTTTTTTTCCCTCCCATTTGATCTTTTTTTTTTTTTTTCAATCGTGGTAAAATACACATAACATAAAATTTACTATTTTAACCATCTCCGAGAATACGATCCAGTGGCATTAAGTACATTCAGTGTTTTGTAACCATCACCACTACCTATTTCTAGATCTTTCTTGTCATCCCAAACAGAAACTCTGTACCCAGTAAACAGTAACTCCCCCCGCCCCAGTCCCTGAGAACCTCTAGTCTACTTTCTGTCTCTATGAATCAGCCTAGTCTACAGTTTCTCCATGTACAATTCAGAGACACTGACTACATTCTTGGAGTTGTGCAATCATTTTCACCCTCCTTTTCTGAATTGTTCCTCCCCCGTTAGCATAAACTCATTGCCCCCTAAACTTCCTATCTGACCTTTCTAGTGGCTGCTGCCAATTTGATCCCATAGAGATAGATCTTAAAAGAGCATAATGCTCAAGGCAGATATTCTTTACTACTTAAGCTAAACTGTTGTTTGGTTTTAAGACTTCAGGGGATATTTTTGGTTTAAGGTTTAAAGGTTATCTCAGGGCCATAGTTTCGGGGGTTCATCCACCCTCCGTGGCTCCAGAAAGTCTAGAGTCCATGAGAATTTGAAACTCCGTTCCACATCCCCGCCCCCCGCTTTGATCAGGATTTGTCTATAGAATCTTTGATCAAAGCATTCAGTAAGGGTAGCCAGGCATCATCCAGTTCTTCTGGTCTCATGGCAAAGGAGGCCACAGGGTTTTCACTGGCTGATTTTCAGAAGTCAATCACCAGGCCTTTCTTCCTAGTCCATCTTAGTCTGGAAGCTCTGCTGAAACTTGCTCAGCATCACAGCAACACACAAGCTCCATGGACAGATGGGTGGTGGCTGTACATGAGGTGTACTGGCCGGGAATTAAACCTGGGTTTCCCGCATGGAAGACGAGCATTCCAGCACTGCACCACCACAGCCCCCGTCTGCTGTTACCTGTCCTTAATGTAAACTATGTACGACGGAACAGTCCTACCACCCAGCTTGGCCACCAGCCACCTAGAAATCATTACTGACCCCTGCCTGGTCCCCCTCCCCCCAACATCAATCCATTGCCAAACCCTACTGATGCTCCTTGCTCACTCAATCAGTCAAGGTGGGTCTCCATGGCTCACGACCACAGTCCCTGACTAAAACACAAGGTTCCCCACCCACAGGATGCACACCAGGCCCATTTTTATTTGGACCTGAAAGGACAAGGTAACATCAGCAACCTGGGAGAGCTGGAGGCATCCAGGTGCTGACAGTCAAGTAGGAGTGTTGTTTATACTTCCAAAATTAATATTTTGTCTTTCTCGGAGGCCAGCTAAATTCAAACAAAATCAACCATACAAAATGCATGTACCTATAGCTGCGTTCCAGGAATTGGTCTGATAATCATAAATATAGACTTTTTGGTTTATTACGAACAGCAATACTGGACCGGCAAAATGTGCTGATGTTACTGCGGGCACGCCAACCTAAAAATAACGATACGTACTAAATCAATAACGATGTCTTTTCCTACATCGGTTCAGAAAGCAATACTTCTAGACACACACCCAAGAATAGTTTATACCAGCAGTATTTGGTGGGTTCCTAGATACTGGGAAGGGAACTCTGGTGGCACAGTGGTTAAAGCACTTGGCTGCTAACCCAAAGGTCGCCGACTCAAATCCACCAGCCGCTCCATTAGAAAAAGATGTGGTAACCTATTTCCATAAAGGTTGGAAACCCAGCTTTGGAAACCCTATGGGGCAGTTCTACCCTGTCCTATAGGGTCGCTATTATGGATTGAAATGTGTCCCTCCCCAAATATGTGTTGTAAATCCTAACCTCTGTGCCTGTGGTCATAATCACATTTGGGAATGGGTTTTCTGTTATGTCAATGACACAGGATTAGTGCAAGGTATGTCTTGAGTCAATTTCTTACAAGATATAAAAGGAGCACATTAAGGAAGCAGAGATGGGGGAAGATAGATGCCAAACTACGTGGAGATCTCCAAGGAACCAGGAAACAGAAGCTGGAGAGACAAGGACCTTCGTCCAGAGCCGACAAAGAGAGAAAGCCTTCCTCTCCCTAGAGCCAGTGCCCTGAATTCAAACTTCTAGCCTCTTAAACTGTGAGAAAATAAATTTCTGTTTGTTAAAGCCACCCACTTACGGCATTTCTGTTACAGCCAAAACCAGACCAAGTTCGTTGCCATCGAGTTGATTCTGACTCATACGGACCCTGTAGGACAGAGTAGAATTGCCCCATAGGGTTTCCAAGGAGCAGCTGGTGGATTCAAACTGCCCACCTTTTGGTTAGCAGCCAAGTTCTTAACCACTGTGCCACCAGGGCTCCTCTGTTATAGCAGCACTAGACGATTAAGACAGTCACTATGAGTTGGAACTGACTCAATGGCAATTTTTTTTTTTTTTTTGATACTGGTAACTAGGTATTCTAGGGTCAGCTAGAAATGAAACTGAGGAATCGAAATGGGTCTTTGGTGCTCGCAGTTACCCAAAGTCACTCAGCCCCTCTCCCTTGTCAAAGCTTCTCTAAGAGCAAAGCCTCAAGTACAAATGACAAGTGACGAGTGTTGCCAACAAGGTTGAATGTGTCACTTCTAAGGGAAACACCAGTCTTTAACGGCTGGAAACCCCGCATTAGCGAAGGCGCCAGTGGTAGAGTTTCTCAAGAGAGTTACTCGGGGGGAAGGATTTTCCCGGGGGTCTAGGACAATTCACAGGGTCCGTGAAATGATTTCCTGGAAAGTAGGGTGCCATCCAGTCGGTCTCTCAACTGTAAACCCAGCACCAACGAAAGGGGCACTCGCAACAAATGTTTCCTTTTTCAGAAAGAAAACGCTCATCTTGGTAGTAGGCGTAGAATAAAGTCAACTCTTGTTGTTATGGCATAAATTGTATCCTCCCAAAAGTATGTACAAGGAGCCCTGGTGGCACAGTGGTTAAACATTCAACTGCTAATTGAAAAGTGGATGGTTCGAATCCACCAGCCGCTCCACAGGAGAAAGATGTGGCAGTGTGCTTCCGTAAAGATTCTAAAGCAAAACCAAACTCACTGCCTTCAAGTTGATTCCGACCCATAGTGACCCTGTAGGACAGAGTGGAACTGCCCCATAGGGATTCCAAGGCTGCATATCTTTGCAGAAGCAGACTCCCACATCTTTCTGGTGGTGGGTTCGAACCGCTGACATTTCGATTATCAACTGAGTACTTTAACCATTGTGCCACCTTTTGGTTCTGTAAAGATTACAGCCTTGGAAGCCCTATGGGGCGGTTTTGCCCTGTCCTGTAAGGTCATTATGAGTTGGAATGATCTCAACAGTAACAGGTTTAAAGTATATGTTGAAATCTGGGCCCCTATACCTAAAGCCCTGGTGGCGCAGTGGTTAAGAGCTCAGCTGCTAACCATAAGGTTGGCAGCTGGAATCCACCAGCCACTCCTTGGAAACCCTATAGGGCAGTTCTACTCTGTCCTATAGGGTTGTTATGAGTCGGAATCAACTTGATGGCAACGGGTTTGGTTTTTGTTTTTTTTATATCTATAAATATGATCCAGTTTAGAAATATGATGTTATTTAATACATTAAATTAGTATATTTAATAAATAAATACTTTAATATTATGTTTTGTTGGAAATTTCTGTTATGTTTATGAGGTCATACTCAAGTAGAGTGGGTTCTAAATCAAATCACTTTTGAGCTATGCTATAGTTGTTAGCTGCTGTCAATTATCGTTACTGGAGCAGATCGCCAGGTCTTTCTCCCAAGGAGTCCCTGGTGGCTTTGAACCATCAACCTTTTGATTAGCAGCCGAGCGCTTAACTGTTGCAAAATGGACACAGAGATACAAGGCAGCTGCTAGAGGCTGGAACAGACAAGGAAGGATCTCCCCTCAGAGCCAAGTCATCAGTTCCTGAATTTGGACTTCTAGCCTCCTAAACTGTGAGACAATTCCTGTTTTTTAAGGCCACTCACTTGCGGTATTTGTGTAAAGTATTAAAAAGCAACGATGCCACTTTGAAGACTAAGGTGCGCCTGACCCACATCATGGTATTTTCAATCACCTCATAAGCGTGTGAAGCTGGACAATGAATAAGGAAGACTGAAGAAGAATTGATGCCTTTGAATTATGGTGTTGGTGAAGAGTATTGAGTATACCATGGACCGCCAGAAGAACGAACAAGTCTATCCTGGAAGAAGAACAGCCAGAGTGCTCCTTCGAAGTGAGAATGGAGAGACTTCGTCTCACATACTTTGGACATGTCATCAGAAGGGACCAGTCCCTGAAGAAGGACATCATGCTTGGTAAAGTAGAAAGTCAGCAAAAAAGAAGAAGACCCTCAACGAGATGGACTGACACAGTGGCCGCAGCAATGGGCTCAAACATAGCAATGATTGTGAGGATGGCACAGGACCGGGCAGTATTTTGTTCTGCTGTACATGGGGCTGCTATGAGTTGGAACTGACTCATTGGCACCTAACAACAACAACAGGTAACTAAGACATTTCTTTTGGCTTAGAAATTGCTTTAAACATCATCAAGAGATACGTTGAAAAATAAACCACTTGATTATAAAAAACAGATTCTTCTGATAATTCCAAACTATATCTACCACTGAATATTATGGATCTTTGGAACCCTTTGGATTAAGTAAAATAACTACCTGCATTGACGTAGGGATGGTAAATGGAAGGAGACTACTGCCAAAGCTATCTGTAGTGAAAAAAACTCGTGCTCTGAAAGAGACAATAAAAGAGTTAAATTGGGACAATTTCACAGAAGAACACAGGCGATGAAGACACCCTAAACATGTTCCATTCAAACAAAATTCCTTTTTAACTAGGAACCATTTAGGTATTGACATACGTTGCTGTTTGCTGTTAGGCGCCATCGGGTCATTTCCAACTCATAGGGACCCTACGCACAACAGAGCATAACACTGCCCGGTCCTGCACCTTCCTCACAATTGTTGTTATGCTTGAGCCTGTTGTTGCAGCCACTGTGTCAATCCATCTCATTGAGTGTCTTCCTCTCTTTTGCTGACCCTCTCCTTTACCAAGCGTGATGTCCTTCTCCAGGGACTGGTCCCTCCTGATAACGTGTTCATTCTTCTGGCAGTCCATGGTATATTCAATATTCTTCCCAAACAAAGAAGGCATCAATTCATCTTCAGTCTTCCTTATCCATTGTCCAACTTTCCCACACTTATGAGGTAATTGAAAATATCATGGCTTGGGTCAGGCACACCTTAGTCCTCAAAGTGATATCTTTGCTTTTTAACACTTTAAAGAGCTCTTTTCCAGCAGATTGGCCCAATGCAATACATCATTAGATTTCCTGACAGCTGCTTCCACGGCTGTTGATTGTGGATCCAAGTGAAATGAAATCCTTGACAACGTCCATCTTTTCTCCTTTTATCATGATGTTGCTTATTGGTCCAGTTGCGAGGATTTTTGTTTTCTTTATATTGAGGTGTAATCCACACTGAAGGCTGTGGTCTTTGATCTTCATCACTAAGTGCTTCAAGTCCTCTTCCTTTTCAGCAAGCAAGATTGTGTCATCTGCATAACGCAGGTTGTTAATGAGTCTTGCTCCAATCCTGGTGCCCCATTCTTCTTCATATAGTCCAGCTTCTTTGATTATTTGCTCAGCATACAGATTGAATAAGTATGGTGAAAGGATACAACCCTGAAGCACATTTTTCTTGATTTTAAATCATGCAGTATAACCTTGCTCTGTTCGAAGGACTGCCTCTTGGTCTATGTAAAGATTCCTTGTGAGCACAAGTGAATGTTCTGGAATTTCCCATTCTTCGCAATGTTATCCATAATTTGTTATGATCCACACAGTCGAATGCCTTTACATAGTCCATAAAACACAGGTAAACATCTTTCTGTTATTCTCTACTTTCAGCCAAGGTCCATCTGACCTCAGCAATGAAATCTCTCTTTCCACATCCTCTTCTGAATCCGGCTTGAATAGCTGGCAGCTCCCTGTCGATGTACTGCTACAGCCACTTTTGGATGATATTCAGCAAAATTTCACCTGCGTGTGATGTTAATTACATTGTTTGATAATTTCCACATTCTATTGGATCACTTTCTTTGGAATGAGCACAAATATGGATTTCTTCCAGTCAGCTGGCCAGGTAGCTGTCTTCCAAGTTTTTTAGCACAGACAAGTGAGCACCTCCAGCGCTGCATCCCTTTGTTGAAACATCTCAGTTGGTATCCCGTCAATTCCTGGAGCCTTGTTTTTCACCAATGCCTTCCATGCAGCTCAGACCTCTTCCTTCAGTACCATCGGTTCTTTTTTTTATTGTTGTAGTTTAAATTAAGTTTACATTTCAAGTTAGTCTCCCATACAAAAATGTATACATACATTGTTATGTGACCCTAATTGCTCTCCCCATACTGTGACAACACACTCCTCCTTTCCACCCCCGATTCCCCATGTCCATTCAACCAGCTCCTAACCCTCTCTGCCTTCCCATCTCACCTCCCGACAGAAGCTGCCCATTTAGTCTCTTGTATCTACTTGAGCTAAGAGGCACACTCTTCATGAGTATCACTTTATGTCCCACAGTCCAGTCCAATCCCTGTCTGAAGAGTTGGTCTTGGAAATTGTTTTAGTTCTGGGCTGATAGAGAATCCAGGGGCCATGCTTTCCAGGGTTCCTCCAGTCTCAGACAGACTATTAAGTCTGGTCTTCTTACTAGAATTTGAGTTCTGCACCCCATCTTTCTCCTGCGCCATCAGGGACTCTCTGTTGTGTTCCTTGTCAGGGCGAGTACTATCAGTACTCCTGAAATGGTTGAACGTCGATCAATTCTTTTTGGTACAGTGACTCAGTGTATTCCTTCCATCTGCTTTTTATGCTTCCTGTGTCATTCAATATTTTGCCCAGAGAATCCTTCAAAATTGCAACTCAAGGCTTGAATTTTTTCTTCAGCTCTTTCAGCCTGAGAAAGGCCAAGCGTGTTCTTCTCTCCTGGTTTTCTAACTCCAGGTCTTAGCACACTTCCTTGTAATATTTTACTTTGTCTTCTCAAGCTGCCCTTTGAAATCTTCTGTTCAGCTCTTTTACTTCATCATTTCTTCCATTCACTTTAGCTACTCTACGTTCAAAAACAAGTTTCAGTCTCTTCTGACATCCACTTTAGTCTTTTCTTTCTTTCCTGTCTTTTTAATGACCTTTTGCTTTCTTCACGTATGATGTCCTTGATGTCATCCCACAACTTGTCTGGTCTTTGGTCACTAGTGTTCCAGACTAAGACAGTCTAGGAAAAAGGACCTGGCAATCTACTTCTGAAAAACTTGGCCAGCGAAAACGTTACGAATAGCAGCAGAACATTGATATAGTGCTGAGTGAGCCCCTTAGGTCCGGAAGACACTCAAAATATGACTGGGGAGGAGCTGCCTCCTCAAAGTAGAGTCGACCTTAATGACGTGGATGGAGTCAAGTTTTCGGGACCTTCGTTTGCTGATATGGCATAACTCAAAACGAGAAGAAACTGCTGCAAACATCCATTAATAATCAGAATGTGGAATGTACAAAATATGAATCTAGGAAAATTGGAAGTCATCAAAAATGAAATGGAACACATAAATATTGATACCCTAGGCATTAGTGAGCTGAAATGGACTGGTATTGGCCATTTTGAATCGGATAATCATAGGTCTACTATGCTGGGAATGACAAATTGAAGGGGAATGGCATCGCATTCATTGTCAAAAAGAACATTTCAAGATCTATCCTGAAGTACACTGCTGTCAGTGATAGGATAATACCCATATGCCTACAAGGAAGAGCAGTTAATACAATAATTGATACACACACACACACACACACACACACACACACACTCACACACACATTTGAGCATGTGTTATGGATTGAACTGTGTCCCAAAAAAATCTGCATTGTAAATCCTAACCCCATACCTGTGGTTATAATCCCATTTGGGAATAGGTTTTCTTTGTTATGTTAATGACACAGTACTAGTGTAGCGTGTCCTGAGTCAATCTCTTTTAAGCTACAAAAGAGATTAAACAAATTGTGCAAGGGAGGAAGCAGAGATGGGGGAAGAGAGATGCCATGCCACATGAAGATCACCAAGGAGCCAAGAAATAGAAGCTGAAGAGACAAGAACTTTCCCCAGAGCCAACAGAGACAGCAACACTTCCCCTAGAGCCAGCACCCTGAATTTGGACTTCTAGTCTCCTAAACTGTGAGAAAATAAATTTGTTTGCTAAAGCCACCCACTTGTGGTATTTCTGTTACAGCAGCACTAGATAACTAAGACAGTTAAGACTTCTTGAAATAACATTATTTTTAAAGTGTTCCCACGTCACATGTAGCATTATACCAGACATACATTATATGAGAGCCTTTCTTGCTCAGGATAAACTTCAGTTTTGTCATTTATACAGATCTCATCCCATGAAAGTAAAGGGTTTCAGACCAAGAATGTGTATATGAGAAGGAAGCAATTTGTTCTTTTAATGTAGAAAACTTTTAAGAAAGGAAAGACCATTCATGAACATGGTATATCACTTCCTTATTCAGGTTTCTTTCCTCCACCCTCTTTTCAGAAAACCTTTATGGTCATTTTCAGAAAGGAATTACTGGGTCAATTCCCATGTATTTTAAAGTTTTTGTTATTGTGAATAGTATTTTTCAAAATTGCCCTTTCTAATCGGTCACTACCGGTTTATAAGAAACTTGTTCATGTTTTAATGTGTTATATTTGGCTATCTTGCCACATGCAGTTATTAGTTCTAGTACTTGGTACTCGTGGATTTTGCAAATGCTGCCTTTCTGACTTCGTGTTTTACACTTCATTTCTCTTTTTCATGTCTTATTGCACTGGCTGCAATCTCCAGTCTTAAGTCGAATGGGAGTGATAAGACTCTCTTGTTATGTTCTAAACCAGGAGTCAGCAAACTTTCTGTGTAAAAAACCAGATAGTAAATACCCTAGGGGCCATACGGCCTTTGTTGCAACTACTCATCTCTGTTGATGTAGCACAGCAGAAGCTATGCATGATACACTGTATTTTTTTTGCAAATAACGCATCCACGTAAATAATGTGCACACACATCTAATACACAGAAATTGGCATAGCGTGCTTATGAAAATAACATGCGGGGGGGTTGTGTGGTTGGCAAAAATACATAATGCATGCATTATTTTCATAAAAATATGGTGTACATGCAGGGGTGTGGCTGCCTGCCAATAAAACTTTAGCTGTGGACACTGAAATGTGAACTCATATCATTTTCACGTGTCACAAAATATAATTCTTCTTTTGATTTTTCTTTTTCTCAGTCACATAAAAATGTAAAAACAGCATGCGGGCTGTACAAAAACAGGTGGTAGGCCATATCTGGTTTCCAGGCCATAGTTTGCTGACCCCTGCTCTAAAGCCACACCGTCCTCTAGAACCTTTTGTAATGGGGGAAATGTTCTGTTTCTGAGATGTCCAATATGGCACCACTAGCCACTTTGAGCACTTGAAAAGGGGCGAGTGCAACTGTGGAAGTAGATTCCTAATTTTATTTAATTTCAATAACAACATGTGGTGAGTGGTTACCACGTGGGCTAGCACAGTTCTAAGGGAACAATGCAGAATTAGCATCTCATCATGTGAGATGTTACTGCTGTAGAGGAAGCTGAGGGCTCCCCCTGCCCCAGGCCAGCTTCACCTTCCCTGCTCCTCTTCCCATCTTGGGTGATCCTTCCTCTCCAGAGGCCCCTTTGTCAGCAATATACACCCTCTGGACTCTGCCTCCCTCGCTGCTGGGCCTCTCTGGAAGTAGCCTCTCTTCTGTCAGTCTGTCTTGGCTTCTTGAGAGAGCAACGCAAACTCTGGAATTCCATGTCCTTGCTTTCTCTCTTGTTAGATCCCAATGCTCTGTCCCCTGACTGCCAACTCCATGGCCACTGATCTGCCTCATGTGCCTTGACTTCTTTGTGTCCCTTGGCCCTCTCCTCCTTGACCCTCTTCCTCCCTCAGCTTCTAGGTCTCCTGGTTTCCTAGTTCTCTTTCCCTTTTCCCATCCGCTTTGTAGAATCAACATTCCCCAGAGCCTCTTGTCCCTGAACACATGACCCCTGGGTGTGATGGCTGATTCTGGGTGTCAACTTTGCAACACTATGGTTCCCAGTTCTTTGGCAAGTCACTAGTCTGGTTGCTGTTATGGAGTAGTTACATGTGATTAAATCAGTTGGCCTTGGGTAGAGCAGATTACCTTCCATAATGTAATCTGTTGGTGTTGTTAGGTGCCCTCAAGTCGGTTCCAACTCATAGCAACCCCGTGTATAACAGAATGAAATGTGGCCAGGTCCTGTGTCATCCTCATAACCGTTGATACATCTGAACCCATTGTCGTAGCCTCTGCGTCAATCCATCCGTTGAGAGTCTTCCTCTTTTTCGCAGACGCTTTACTTTACCAAGCATGCTGTCTTTTTCCAGGGACTGGTCTCTCCTGATAACATGCCCAAAGTACATGAGACGAAGTACATCTCATCCCTTGTACGAGTTAGCTTATTTCCAGATATTACCATAGTTATTTGAGAAAAAGCCAGAGGTCGAAGAATCTTAACCCTCGCTTCTAAGGAGCATTCTGGCTGTCCTTTGGCCTGGGATTCTGTAAACACTCCTAGTCTCCACCCCCGTCCCTTCTCCAGTCCTGTCCCCTCTTCAGTGTTACCAGGCTGAGGTCTTGAACAAAAGCACAAGCCATGTGGCACCAGATTCTCCACTGTCTTCAGGAAGAGGGTGAACATCTTGAATGGTGTACACATCTGGATTTCTAACTTTGCCCCGAGACAACACCAAGTGCATACCGCATGTGGCATTTGAATGCACTGCTCCAAGTCTATATATGTTTGGTCGCCCCTGAACTCCTACTCATCCTTCAAAACCCAGCTTTGGCATCAACTTCCCAGTGGAACCTTCCTAAGCATTTTCTCCTCAGCCCCCCTCTCTCCCCTCGTGCTTATATCCAGCACCTTTGATAGGTGGTACCACACTGTCCCCCACCAGTCTGTCAGTTGGTTGTACTGTGGAGGCTGGTGTGTTGTTATGATGCTGGAAGCTATCCTCTGGTTTTTCAGATACCGGCAGAGTCACCCATAGTGGAAAGGTTTCAGTGGTGCTTCCAGACCAACAGAGAATAGGAAGAAAGGCCTGGTGATTGACTTCTGAAAAATCAGACAGTGAAAATCCTATGGATCACAACAGAATATTGTCCAATATAGTGCTGGAAGATGAGCCTCCTAGGTTGGGAGGCACTCAAAATACGCAGCAGTTAAAAAGAGTTATGACAGAATATTACGAACAACTGTATAGCAATAAACTGGATCACCCAGATGAAACGGACAAATTCTGAGAAGCAAAATACACGGTGGCCGCAACAATGGACTCAAGCATACCAGTGATTGTGAAGATGGCGCAGGACCAAGCAATGTTTTGTTCGGTTGTACATGGGGTTGCCATGAGTCAGAGCAGACCCAGCGACAACTAACACCACCACCATCAACCACACTATAGTGTGTCTATCTTAGTTACTTGCTGGTCACTTCATCTCTCATCCTCTGATCCCCGGCCCTGACTCTGGCCTCCTTGCAGGCCAGCAACCAGCAATGCAGGGCAGAGAGGTGTTCATGAATGTCTGCTGAATGAATGAATGAGAGCAAATCAAAATTTTTCATAAAAAAGAAGGTAACAGTACATAAAATGGTCACTTACCCTAGATATACAGCTAAGTTTCTCTTGCAAGGATGTGTAATCAAGCTTGTGGTCCTAGACGAAAAGTACAGGATGTCCTAGAGAAATAATCACAAGGTTTTAATAATATGAATATTAATGAACACCTGATAAAAACAGTTCCCAAGGTGCAAAGTTAAAAATGGAAAGGGTGAAATCTAAACAAGGTTGGTGGATTGTATCAATGATAGTTGCCTGGTTTTGATACTGTACTGGGGTTATGTAAGGTGCTATCCCTGGGGGATGCTCGGTGAAGGATAAACAGGACCCCTCTGTACTACTTTTGCAACTTCCTGTGAATCTATAATTAGGTCAAAATTAAAAGTTTTAAAATTCCTTGTACGTGTTAGTTTATTTACAGATTATTTTGACAGTTATTTGAGAGACAGGCCAGAGGTTGAAGAATCTTAACCTAATCAGTTGGAAACCACGGTCACCTAAAGATTATTTGCAAATAGTAGCTGCCATTTCTGAAAGAACACCATGTCGATAGGAAATACATTTTAACCGATGATTTTTTTTCTTCATGCATTTTAGCCACACATCGGGTGATACATTTCCGGCTGCACTGCATTGTATCAACAAAGTAACAGGGTTTGCTTCTCATGTTATTCTGCATTTGATCTCCTATCCAATAGTGGAACAGACAAAATTCAACGCAGACGACCTGAGTTCTAAGCCCAGTTCCACCTCTTGGCTTTCCTCAGGTTACTTAACTGCTCTCAACTTGCTTTTTAGTGAAAATGGGAAAGATTAATCCTTTCTTCAAAGGGCAATTGTGAGGATTAGATAAAGTAACGTTAAGATGCCTGGACCTGGAACTGGCACCCGAGAAAAACTAGATGTTAGTTCCAATCCAGTCATTAGAAGAAAGTGAAGAAGTGATGGTTAAGCAGGAGCTACATACCCCAGGAACTGCCTTGTGGACATTAAATACTTTTCCTGTCCTCACTGTGTGATTACTAGAGGCAAGCAACAAGAGAGACCATCTGTCAGTTTTTATTGACTATTCGGGGTGAATAGCATGTACCTCCTTATCAGGTCTCCTCTGCACTAACTCTAGGGTGCCCACTCTTAATGTTTTTGGGGTTATAAGAGCTCCTTGAGAATCTGATGAAACCGTGTGGCCTCTCCTCCCGGAAACAGACACATTGTTGTTGAGCGCTGTCATTCCGACTTATAGCAACTCCATGAGACAGAGGAGAACTGCTTCATAGGGTTTCCTAGGCTGTAGTCTTTACAAGAGCAGACCGCCAGGTCTTTCTCCTGCCAAGCTGCTGAGCGGGTTCAAACTGCCAATCTTTCAGTTAGCAGCTAAGCGTTTAACTATTGCACCACCAGGGTGCCTTAGAAACAGACGCACAAAAATGCAGATATAATTCTAAAAAGCACGTAAAAGCTCATTCACAGCCCCCAGATTAGGAACTCCTCCAAGGTTTAGGTTTTAATTTTTTTTTTTTTTTTTTTGTGGAGTGGGAGCCAGAAGAACGATGGTTTAGTTTATGGCCGAGGTCCTCAAACTTGAGTGTGAAACAATCACCTATAAACCAGTTCTACTCTGACTCACAGCTACTCCGTGTGTGTCGGAGCAGAACCGTGCTCCATAGGGCTTTCAGTGGCTGATTCTTCAGGAAGTAGATCGCCAGGCCTTTCTTCTGAGGTGCCTCTGGGTGGACTTGAACCTCCAACCTTTGTTTAGCAGCCCATATTAATTGCACCACACAGGAGTAGAGGGAATAATAGCAAGTCTCCCCTGTCCGCAAGGCTGGGGCGAGCTTGGTGTGTTCAAGAATTAAAGGGCGGTGTGGTTGGAACACAAGTGATCCTGAGGGGCGACAGGGGCTAGGCTGGTGGTTCTCAGCCCCCAGGAGGCATTAGGCAACGCCTGAACGAGTTTTTTGACTGGGGAACAGGGCATCTAGTGGGCGGAGTCCAGGGATACTCTAAATATCCCACAATGCACAAAGCGGCCCTCAAAACAGAGAATGATCCGGCCCCAAATGTTAGTGGCGCTGCCGTGGAGAAGCTGGGCCAAATCATGAGCGGCACAGCCAGCCTCTGCAAGCAGGAACTTGGATTTTCTTTTAGAAGCCACGGAGAGAGCCAGGGGAGGGGAATGACAGATCGGATTCCTTTTAAAATAATCCCTCTGGCTTCGGGGTGGAGAACAGACAGAGGGCAAAGCCTAGGGGGGGTGGCGATGGCGTAAAGGCACTAGAATGGGGCCAGAGTTTGAAGTAGAAATGGGAGGGCTTGGTGATGGGCTGTAGGGGTGGGGTGCAAGAAAGGGAGGTTATCAACTTTGGCCCACAGGGGGAGGGAGCTGAGAAGCCTCTGTGAGGTTAGAGAGAGGAAAGGGGGCTGGAAAGCGGGGACAGGGGTGATTTTCCTCGATTCTGCCCAGGCTGGGCCTGTTCCAAGCGTCCCAGGCGTGTCCAGGGGTCCTGCCACTTCCCTCAGCTCAAAGATGAACCAGCGCCCTCCCGGCCCCCGACAGCACCCCAGCCCTGAAGAGCTGCCCCACCGGCACAGCGAATCAGCTCTGACCAGCGGCCAGAGCCGCACAGCCATCGCCGCCACCAGCATCGGCACCAGCATCTCGCTCCAGCGCCCTCCTGGTCCACCGCTGACCATCAACGGCCGCGGGAAGGCGCCTTACAGTCCGCGTGTGTGCAAACTAGAGTTTGAGCATGCGCACTTCGTCTCCCGGGAAGCCCAAATCCACCAACGCTCGCCCTCTAGCTCTGTGTGCGCACGCTGTCTCCGGGAGCGCTAATCCTCCAATGACGACGCGCCCCAGATCCTGAGCTTGTCACCCGCGCGCCTAAGCAGACGCAAGAGTTTGCGTTTGCAGCAACAGTTTGCCCTCTAGGGCCCTGGCGTACGCTTAAAGCCTTCCTCGTGACCCGAAGGTTCTTGAGCGCGCTAGCTGGGTGACCGGGAAACGTGAAGGCGACGAAAGACATCGGACAGCAGGCCCCGCTCGGTGGAACACTCACTTCCACCCCCCTCCACGCCCCGCCCCCGGAAGCGTTCCTTCCCTGGCCATGGCCCCCCACAGGCGCAGAAGTACGCCCCTGGCGTCACGTACGCCCAAGCCCGGCGAGCGGAAATGACGCAATTCTCACGCGTCGTCAGGATGGCCGGGCCATGGCGGCGGGCACAGGCTACGTGCGACTGTGGGGCGCAGCGCGGTGTTGGGCACTGCGGCGGCCGCTCCTGGCCGCCGCGGGGGGACGAGCTGCAACTGCGGCCGAAGCCTGGCTGTCCAGGGGCCGGCGGGCCTGTGACGCCTCGCTTCCCTGGACTCTGTGGGGTCGAGGCCCCGCGGCCACGGGTCAGTGGCGGGGGCTTTGGGAGGGGAGTAACCGCGGTGGAAGCGGCCCATTCACTGGCAGTGAGGACGCCTCCGAGGGCGGCGCAGAGGATGGGGTCGGGGGCGCGGGGGGCAGCGCGGGCGGCGGGGAGGGCCCCGTCATAACGGCTCTCACGCCCATGATGATTCCGGACGTGTTCCCGCACCTGCCGCTCATCGCCGTCACCCGCAATCCGGTGTTCCCGCGCTTTATCAAGATTATCGAGGTAATGAGACCCCCCGCCTCGGCCCCAGTTTCCCCACCTCTGCAAGCAGCAGGTAGAACCGAGGGGTCACGTAGCGCCTTCACGCTTCGCAACTTTTTCAGACACGAAGTTTCTCAAGAGCCGAAGTTCGAATCCCTCTCTCCTCACCACTCGCTTGATAAACTAATCCCAGTCCTAGAAATCGGGGCTGGGAGACGCTAGAGTAATTCTGCAGCCCAGTTTACTTTTCTGCGTATCTTGGTAAATGTTTTGTAACATCTCCCCCAGGCGGTCGGCCTTGTGGTTAAGAGTCCTTTTGTAAGATTCATTTCCTTACATCTGTTTGAACCCTTACCATGTGCCAGGCATGGTTCTAGGTATTGATGATACCAGCAGTGTACAAGACAAACGAAATTCATTCTAGTAGGATGAGAGAGGTAATAAACAAGATTAATAGGTAAACGATAGTGTGTGAGAAGGCAGTAAGTGCTGTGGGGAATAATAGAGCAAGAGATGGTACGGGAAGTTTAGGAAGGGGTTGGGGTGGGGCCACATGGTCCCTGGTGGATGTAGTCACCGTTTATTCATTGAACAAAGCGTTCTAGAGCTTCTGCCATGTAGCAGCCACAGAGCAATGAACAAGTCAAAACACAGTCTGTGCTTAAGGGATGAGACCGTAAACAGAGAAGATCATTTTAGACTGAAAAACACAAAACCCCAGATGGCAGGTGGCACACGGGCAGCGTAAGTTGGAGGAAGTGGAGCTTTTAGGGTAGGAAAAAGAAGGACCCAAATGCCCTCGCCACCCACCCCTTCTCCCTTTTTTTTTTTTTTTTTTAAAAAAAAATTTGATGTGGAAACTGGAGTCCCAGGAGGAGAAGGATTATCTGTTAAAAACAACAAGGTCATATAGTGAGTCAGCTTCTGCCCTCACCCTCCAGACTCTGCTGACTGAATGTCAAGGATCCTCTGGGAGGGGCAAGGACAGCACGGGGGCAGCGGCCAGCCTGTGGGGAGGGGAGGGAGCGGGTCCTTCTCCACCTCCTCTCCCACACTGCTGATTGGCTGCGTATGAGCTGCCCTCTCAAGACCTTTCCTTGATGTTCATGAGTGGTAACTAGTGCGGGCCCCAGAGCCATATCCTGGGGTTGATAATCCTGGCTGCAGCACCCCTAGCTCTGTAACCGTGGACAAGCTCTTCTTTCTCTGGGCCTCTGTTTTCTCATCTGCGAAATGAAAATAATAATGTTCCCTCATTTAGAGTAGGAGCCCCAGTGGCACAACAGTTAAGGGCTCAGCTGCTAACTGAAAGGTCAGTGGTTTGAACCTACCCAGCCGCTCTGTTGGAGAAAGACCTGGCAATCTGCTCCGATAACGGTTACAGCCAAGAAGGCCCTATGGGGCAGTTCTGGTCTGTCACATGGGGTCGCCGTGAGTAGGAAGGGACTCCACAGCACCCAGCAACAACAGCCCAACTAAGAGGAGGGGACAAATGGTGAGGCTGCAGCAGTCAGCTGTTAGCAGAAGAGACATTGGAGACAACGCCTGTGGGACCCGATGGCGTGTCCTGAACCTGTTAGTAAAGCTCCGTTTCCTCTTGATTTTGTAGTAGTCACCGACTGACCAGCTGGCCTTCGTAGCTTCTCTCCATGTTAGTTGGTTGAGCCTCTGAGTATAGACCTAAGGGTCTTAGGTTTTGGTTGGTCACGTACCCTCCTGATGGATGCTGTGTATCTTCTTCCCGGAAAAATGCATCTACTGGGGAAAAAAAAAAATTTGCCGTCGAGTTGACACCAACTTCATGGCTACTCCATGTGTGTCAGAGCAGAACTGTATTCCTTAGGATTTTCAGTGGCTAATTCTTTGGAAGTTGATCGCCAGGCCTTTCTTCCAAGGCATCTCTGGGTAGTCTTGAAATGCCAGCCTTTCGGTTAACAGCCAAGTGTGTTACCCATTTGCACTACCCAGGGCTCAAAAGTGTGTTCCTCCTCCAGCCACATCAGCATCACCTGGAGCTTGTTAGAAATGCAAATCATTGGCCACCCCAAACCTCCTGAACGAGAAACCCTGGGTGAGAGGACCCAGCAAGCTCTTAACATCTCCAGGTAATTCTGATACACACTGAGGTGTGATGGCTGCTGAGTTTAGCCGAGGTCTGGCCTGGAAATTCACAGGCTTGAAAGAAATCACAGAGTCCCTGGGTGGTACAAACGGTTAACGCGCTCACCTGCTAACCAAAAGCTTGGTGGTTTGAGCCCACCCAGAGGTGCCTCGGAAGAAAGGCCTGGCGATCTCCTGAAAAATCAGGAGCACAGTTCTACTCTGACACACATGGGGCCGCCATGAGTCAGAGTCAACTCAACGGCAACCGGTTTTGAAAGAAATCCCTGAGCCCTCAGGCCCTTGGTGCTCCATGTCCCACCAGGTGTTTCCCAGAAGACACCGTTGGCCCTTCACCTGTGCTAGAGGGGATGTCCAGATGAGCTGTGATCCTGAGGGCTTTGATCATTGATGAACAGGGTATAGATGTGATGAGGAAAAAATTGCCATTAACACCAGAGGCAGTCATCAGCCTGTGGGGTGGGCCGTATCTGACTTACACATATTTAA